TTGGGATTCCAGACTCCAACATTATCCTCATGTTGGCGGATGACGTAGCGTGTAACGCAAGGAACAAATTTGCTGGCAGTGTCTATGCAGAAGCTGGAAGGCATCTAGACTTGTACGGCAACAACATCGAGGTAGACTATCGTGGCTATGAAGTAACTGTGGAGAACTTCATACGCCTATTGACAGGTATGAATGGTCCAGTGCTAATCGGCTAATTGAAGGTCATCTAAAGTGTTGTAGGTCGGGTAGATCCCTCTATGCCACGGTCAAAAAGACTTCTGACAGATGACCACTCAAACATCTTCGTCTACATGACTGGGCATGGAGGAAACGAGTTCCTCAAATTCCAAGACCAAGAGGAAATAAGTGCATTTGATATTGCTGACGCATTCGAGCAAATGTGGCAGAAAAAAAGGTGGGTTTTCCCTTCGCATTGTCGTATTCGAGGCTCACGATGGAGCAGATACAACGAAATTTTATTCATGATTGATACCTGTCAAGCAAATACCATGTACTCTCAAATTTATTCCCCTAACATTCTTGCCACTGGATCCTCTCAGATTGAAGAGAATTCTTACTCTGTAAGAATTCCACACTCCGTTTGGTTCAAAGTGCTCACGATGTCGTGGATCTAGTACGAAAATGACAATGATATCGGCGTCTCCGTCATTGACAGCTATACACACTACGTCCTCAAATTTATGGAAGGAATAAATAAGACGAGTCAGGCATTTATGCAAGATTTGGTATTCTACTTTATAACTGGTCTGATGCGCGTGTTCATTCTTCATTGCGACAGTTCGATTCATATGACCCGGTGAAGATTTACTCTCATCCAGGCATCCGGTCTGATCTTTTCCGCCGTCCCTTGGACAAGACGCTTATTACCGATTTCTTCGGAGGCATCGCACAAGCTGAAGCCTTCCCATTACAGGACATCGTCGGCTCAAGTAACCACCATGAGAATGATCCTACGCCCCCTACCTCCCAGAAGCCTGACACACCGTCTGTACCGGTGGTGTTGTCGCCGACTGTTGTCTCCCTCCCGAGATTGACAGGCGAGACGCATGCATGGGATAATCGGTGGAAAGAAGTCAGAAAATGGACCTCCATCTTTGTCGTAGGATGTCTTGTATCCTGGGTTTCTTTTGTGCGGTAATCCCACATCGATTGCCCTAATTTATTCTGAGTCAGGGGCCGTGAAAATCTCACAACTCCCATGTTTGACTTTCACTATAACTCATACATTGCATCATGTACCATCCTGCTTCTCATTGGCTTCTCACTGCCCCTTTCTCATCTGAGACTATATGTAGATTTACGTGCGTCCATAATGTAGTAGTTGGCTCATACGATGACAATGAGTGAGCTCGGATGAATTAGTTGCGCGCAGTAGAACCTTCACATGCAAGCAAGATGACAGCAATAAGATCTCTGTATGTTGTCTGTATGCAACAAGCTTGAAACAATGGAAACATTAATAAATCTCATTCTCCCATCCACGAGGCTTGAACCTGTTAGCTGCAACCCGGGTATCCCTTCACAATTTCAGGTTCGCGAAACCGACCTCAGTGTTACCGACATCAAAGATCGTGTACACGTTTTGCAAAAATACATCGCCAATAATCCAATGTTCTTCCTCGATACTTGAGCATACTTTTGTGTTGTATTTATTTATAGCACGTACCTCCAATCCCGGGCATGCCAGTAAGGCCGGCGATGCAACATCTGTTATGGTTGTATCTCCGGATATTCTACTCAGCGGGATACTGATGGTATTTCTTTGGTAGGCATCTAGAGGTGATGCCACAATGAGAGAGACGAGACAGCAGAGCGTCAGTAAAGCTGTGGAAGGACGCATGATGTTGACCTGTTGATCTCAGGGTGAGTCAGTGCTGGCTTTTATGACTTTCAAGGCAGGCCATGCTATTTGGCCATACATGCACGCGGCAGAGATGACTAGACCACGTTTTCCAACAACTTGACAGGTTGTCAAGTATGCTATCTGTCGGGATACCTCAAATCCTACATGAGAATGGACCAAGGTGTCTCGCTGCTCGGAAGAGATGCAGACGGCAATGACTTGAGTGTGGCACAAAAAACAATCCTGTCGCCCTCTATCCATACAAGGTTCAATGAAATATTGTCAACATACAATGGTGCTACAAGACTTATGTACATTACTTGGAAAAAGCCCTCAGCATTCATTCGTCGATGCGAGTCCCGTTGGAATGCATACACCACTCTAACACAGCACAGGGTGGCCACAAGCCATCCGGCTCGTCACCAGCGTCTTGAAGGAGCAATGCCACGACACCGTGCGGCGGAACAGCGTGGGCTGTGAAATTGCGAACTGCAGTGCCGTTGTCTGTATGCGTCCAAAGGTCCTAGACAGACAAAGCAAATCAGAAGGCCGCGGACAACCTGCATGAGATATGAAACTTACCCGGACAGTATATTGTCTGCCAGCTCGGATCCACGGAGATTCAGCCAGCTTGAAGAACATGTCGGCGGGCTCATCCAGTGTGTTCAACTGTATAAAATTCGAGTTATTTGAATAGCACGTCTAAAAGAGAATACGAACGAGCATAAACACAGTCCCGTTCTGACTCTCTCCGCTCCAATATTGTGCAGGATGTGTGTCGTTGCTGACCCAATCAGACTATCGATGCAACGTGACATCAATGACGTGGACCTCCGATTGACAGCAAATGACTTACATTGATGCCCCACCGGAAAGGTGAAATGCTAGTGCCTACAACCGAGTCTTGATGGATCGCAATAATTTCTGGATTGGTCAGAATCTCAAGGGTTTCTTTGGTAGCAGAAGCGAGCTACGTTGGACGTACGTGAGCGGAGGGTTCGTCAGCAGGATCGGACTTACATGAGTGCCAATAAGTAAAGGTGACTTCAAGAGCGCCCACGCAGTAAAATGGGACTTCGCTTCTTCGTACGTGAGGGGGCCATTACCACTGTCGATTGTGAGGTGACAATTATACTCGGCCTCTCAATGACGTACATTTCAAGCTACAAAAACCCGTGTCAGCGCAGCCAATAACACCACAGAACATGACTAACGATGTCCATGTCATTATGGCCGTAGAAATCAGTTGCCCAAGTATAGAACGAGTTCCTGGAAGATGACATGAATTACTCTAGGATAAGCAACGCGGCTTCCTTACTGGTTTAATATTTTGACGATGGATTGCCAGTACGGTTCTTGCCACCGATTAGTTGCTTCCTCAGTGAAAGGTTTCGAGGGTTTGAACGCTTACCAATATCGTCAGTCGTCTAAAGTATCCGTTAGCTTCGAAAAATTTGTGATACGTGCTCTATCTCACCCTCCAACTCTGCCCATATCTGCGGGCCCAAGTCCAGCCTTGCTCCTGCAAAAACAGTCCATAGTCCAAAAATTGCAACGAAGTGGAGTCTCACCCTTCCCCACTGGCACATCGACAGAATCAAGGGTGGTGTTCCAGACGACAGTGAAAAATCACCAATGGCGTTTGCCATACGTTCGTATCCTAGACACGTCAGTGAGGATTATGACAGAGGTGAAGAACATGAGTACATACTTCCCATAATATTTTCCCGAGTGATGTTGTCGAATGGAACTGACATACATCGAGCAATCACGAAAAGGGCATGAGGTGAGGCCGCGTACCAGCACAATTATCATATCTGTCAATAATCACCGTCAAGAACAGCCGTTCAAGTCAGTAAATCGAGACTTACTTGAGATAATCAAAACCCCAGTCATGGAAGCGTTTTGCGTCTCTGCTAGATATGATCATGATGTAATAACCAGGAGCGGAATTGCTGACCTTGCCTCGTTCTGGAATGAGCCAGGATACAGCTGGCATGTGAACCAACCCGAATCACTATACTGCATGACAGGGACATGGTCAGGGATACAGGAATGACTGAATGACAGGTCCTTACGATGCCAGCTTTCCTGTGTGCGCCAAAGAAAAATATCAGTGAAATGCAATTTTAGATGTATATATAACATCTCACGCACAGTCCGAGATCATGGATTTTGTCTGTGAGAGCCTTCATTCCAGATGGAAACTTCGTCGCGTCTGGCCGTGGATGTTAACATATGAACCGTCAGGAAAAAATAGTTGGACCTTCAACAATATCACCATCATCATTTCTGCTTTTCTCTGAATAACAATCATCAATGTTGACATATGTATACCCAGCATCCTAGTGGTGATACCAAGTTCAGCCACTCTGAATAGGGCCGACGGCGAACGATACTTGCCGCCAAGTTGAGTGATTTCATAAGCTGTGCGTTTTGTAAGATGAGATCCTCGTCTATGTCGCACTAAAAGATCTGAGTTAAAACCTTCCGAACTAACTCCATACCACTCACATGGTATGCATTCCAAGCTGTGCGTGAGGCGCCAGGTCAGTATCGACAGCTTTTTTTCGGAACGTGGAAACCTACTGTTATAGCCCATCACTTATCACCACATAAGATGAACGAATTGGCGAAGACTGAATCTCGAAAAACGCACCTGGTAGTTTGGCAACTCGGTTATCCAGTGTAGCAGAAACGCGGTGAGGGGCATCATGACGGTGGGCGAGGTATGTGGTATATCCCAAGATTGCAGCCAAGGCTAATGGAAGAAGGACAACAAACGATCTGTTAAGCTTCGAGCGAGCTTATGAACGTAGACATGGTCAACATTCACTGCCTCCCGGTGAAGCTTCGAGAATTGTCATACCAGTATATGCTGGACCTCCAGCTCCATGGGTAACAAGAGGGTTCTTTTGAATATGCGGGACTTCCAGCTTCATAGCTGAAGGATGGCAGTTGGGGTTGTCAGCGTAATGGGCAATGATATTGTGGGGAAACTTGGGGTAAACTCGGTCACGGAAGCAATAAGGATACTCGCACGGCGGAAGCTATGTATGTACGCATGGGATATCACGTAGGGAAACGCAAATATCATGCATGGCGAACTTATAATGGTGCCGGGTCATGCAGCCCGCCGGAATGTCCCGGCACCAGGAGTCCAGCTGAGCGCCTGCGCCTGTTCTCTTCTTCATTCGATTTTCAGTTATCCACACCATCGAGTTCGTCGTACCTCTCACCTCCTCACTCGCTCCCTTAGATTTTTGAGTATTTCATTCGCTATGCACGAGCACCTCGGCCTTGAACTCAATAATAGAACCTCCATTGGTTTATCCACACCTCAGGCGACTCAAGCCGCTTCAGCGTCAGGCCCTGGTTCATCTTCTCGTACAACCACTTCCACAGGGCAGTCATCCACCAGCACCGGAAATGCAACTGCCCCTGGAAGTTCGGCTCAAGCTCGAACATCTCAGCAGCCTGCCCAGCATGCAAATGCTTCGAGCGCTCAATCCTCCGCACCTCAGCAAAACCGTGCACCGGTAGTTTCATCATCCAACTCAGCTGCGCCTAATTCAGCACCTAATGTCCTGCACCAACCAGCAGCGCAACCCGCCGTTATTCAGCCAGTCGTGGCGCAACAACAGCCCTTACAAGCGCCTGCGGACGAGATTGATGCCCTTAGAGCCAGAATTGCTGAACTGGAGCGCGGGGAAGCTCACGGCAACCATCTACCAGCCAGAGCACCCGCGCCTCAACAAGCCATGGTCGCAGATCCCACCACAGTGGATCGCATTCAAACAAATCTCAATGGCGCCAAGGAAGAGTCGAAGCGACCATCGCTACCGGCTCTTCGTCCAGGACATAAAGTCAGCGCACTAAGCTTGCGTGTGTTATTCGGCTTCGGCCATATGTTACAATGCCTCTTCGGCACACTGTTCTGGTACCGCCTCAGTCCACCAAGCTGGCCTTTACCGCTACTGTACCGATCTACCACCTAAAGGGGGGTTGTACTACTCGTTTGCATTCGTGCCAATATTATTTCATTCTACGTTTACCGTACCGCTGAAGTTAGTATCTAATGTACTTCCTTCGTAGCAATACCTGCCAAAGTGGAAGAGGCCTTCAAACATTACCGTTATGTGCCATATACGGCATTAATGCACGCAGCTCGCTCTAAAGCATTCCTATGAGGAGAAGACTTGTCTTTTGTTTTCATTCAGGATGGTTTAACGGCCAAGGGTCTTGACCGCTCGAACGAGCTCTCCATTGTAACAGTGGACTGGATTGCAGCGGCCAAAGCCGCTGAAGAAAGGACAGCGCATCATTGGGGTGAAGAGCGCGCCGCTGCTCTAATTTCGCACCACCTCGTAGTCCTCGATATCGGACGGACTCACAGTTGGTCGGTGGTGATGCATTATGATGTGCAGCAAAGGGAGCTAGCACATGCCAACCATGAGCACAATCTCGCCGGACTCGATGTAGCTGCTCTCACTCTAGCCAATAATAAAATCTCCGCTGTCGTACTATCACAACCTGCTCCTATCTCACCCAACAAGTGTGCTGCTCCAAACAAGTTTCCATCATCGCCTCGTAAGAAACCGCATATCTTTGCCTCGAGCCATTGCTTTCGCTGTGGAGCATCCGGCCATCTGCCTGCTGACTGCTCAGCAGACACTACTTCGGCAGGAAAGCCAGTTGCAGCTATTGCATCCAATGCTCGAAGCAAGCATGCCCTCGCTAATGCGGCCGGAAAACACTACTGTTTTAATTGGGCCAACGGCTCCAATTGCTCCTTCAATTCCAATTGTAGAAATGTCCACGCATGCAGTCTCTGCGGCGATTTGTCCCATGGAGCTGGCAATTGCAAAGTCCGAGCTTGACCCACGCACAGTAGTGACCCCTCTCGACCATCTCAAGGTCGAAGATACCCTCCGTAAATACGATATTTTCAATGATTGGTGCCATATAGTCAACAGTATTTGCGACGGTTTCAACGTTGGTGTCCAAAGCTTACCAAACTCTACTTTGTTATTTCGAAAATCACACATCTTCCTTACTCAACCCCTCTGTAATGGACAACTACATAATTTCAGAGCAAGCCGCAGACTGCTACTCTACAGGATACAGTCCTGCAGACTTAGAGTGCTTAATTGGACCTTTTCGCACCTCTCCATTAGGCTTAGTGCCAAAGCCCCATTCCAACAAATTCCGCTTAGTCCAAGATCTTTCCTACCCGCGCAACGACCCATCTATGCGTGCTGTGAACGCAGACATCAGCGCAGACGATTTTCCCACAGTATGGGGAACATTCGACGATACCGCCGCTCTCATTCTTTCACTTCCACTGGGCTGCGTCGCAGCAACATTCAACGTGTCCTCAGCTTATCATATAGTCCCTGTGCTTCCTTGGCAGCAGAATTCCCTTTGTATAATCTGGAGAGGCATTGTCTACATGGACAGGGCTCTCATGTTCGGCCTCACCTCAAGTGCAGGCATTTTCGGCTCAGTCGCCGATATGCTGGTGGCAATTTATGGCAGAGCTGGCTTCAGCCTCATCCAAAAGTGGGTTGACAACTTCCTAGTTGTCAGACTGCCACACCAGTCATGGACAGAGGCAGACTTCATCACCATCTCAGCCTTCTTCGGCCTGCCATGGAGCCTGGAGAAACTCAGACGCTTCGCATCAATCCAGCGCTATATCAGATTCGATTGGGACCTGGACCGAAAACAGGTTTCCCTTCCAGAGGACAAGCTCCACAAAGTCCAGGAACTAATCAATTGCTGGCTGCTTGAAGGAGCTTCATTCACAGCGAAAGAAGCAGCGGGCCTGCATGGGAAGCTTGTCTACGTGGCATGTATCTTTCCCCTCATTTGTCCGTTTCTGCGCTCAATAGCAGTTTTTGCGGCGCATTTCCGGTCGCCACGCACACATCTCAAGCCATCCCATCCCGTTCTCGCAGACCTTCCCTGGATCCAATCCCTTCTTTCGCACCTCCTGAAGTCAGTTCCCCTATCGAACCCGTTGTAGATGAGGAATCTTGACTAGACATGAAAACACTTAAAACAAAAGGGTGCTCAACAGCAAGACCGGGATATGAGACAACGACTCAACCCAAGGGACAACCACTGAGAGAAGTTCCTCAAAATAAAGTGGAGGGAAACTCTATGAGCTAGGTGGGCGCTAACAGGTGCAAGAAGATAACGCACGCGAAGGCGCGCCTTGAGCGTTAAGGGAAAGGTCCTATTGAGGAGTGAATGCCCAGATGGATGATTGACAGGAGAATAAGATCTTATAACAAGTGAGGAGGTGATCTATACACTTTCCAGTACACAAAGATAAGGGGAAAGTAAGTACCAGAACCAAAGGAAACCCTTCTGTATTTAAGAATGGAGATTGCGCTAAGCGGCGCGCTTCCGAGCGCGCTGTAGAGACTCGTGTGTCTCATGGTGTGATATGGCAGGTTTCACTAGGAAGTATACAGCACAAACTCGCAGCGTCATTCTGTGCGCTACCCACAGCTATCTCTATATGACGCGCAGCTTTCCCACGCAACGCGCGCCATGCGCGCACCATTCCCGCGCTTCGCGATGTATACGCGCGCGCGCGTTCCTGCGCTTGCGCGCCCTATAGCGCCAGCCATTCAGATGCATCCATCCACTGTCCACCAAGCTTCCTAGTACGTATATTTCCATTTCCTTTATTAGCATAGTTCCACCTTTATTTTTATCATAGTTTCTCACTCATATATATCCTTACATACCTACTCAGTAGCGCTTCGGCTCCGCATGACCGCGCTTAGGCGCGCTATATAAGCGCCAGCAGTACATACTACACTTTACCTACTTTTCCTACTTTTCACTTACTAGTTACTACCCACTTACTACTTAGCAGAATATAGTAGAAAGCTATTCCTTTACATTTTGCACTCTTATATCTCTTATCTTGCTTTATATCACTACTTAAGCTTAGTTTCTCATTTCCGCATACGCGCGCGCACTTTCCCGCGCTTCGCGCTAATACGCGCGCGCGTTCCCGCGCCTTTGTACCTTGCGCGCTCCTGCGCTTTCTCGCGCTTCGCTTAAGCGCACACTTCTAGATCCTTGCTGCACTCACTTCCCCTATAGGGTCGAACGCACTTGTCTCCTCAAGCAACGCAGACTAGGCAACGCGCGACCTATCAACATTTATAGATACTGCCAGGAGCATCATTTGTTCCTAGTAGTATTGTTGTTTCTACAGCGCTCCCAAACCGATGTAGAAACAACAATACAGAGAGGAACAAATAATGCTCCTAGCTGTATCTATAATAGTTGTAGGTCGTGCGTTGCCTAGCCTGCGTTACTTGAGGAGACAAGTGCATTCGACCCTAAAGGGGAAGCGAGTGCAGCCAAGATCTAGAGGTACGCGCTTCAGCGAAGCGCGAGAAAGCACAGGTGCGCGCAAGGCGCGGGAACATGCGCGCGCGTATGCGGAAAATGATAAAGACTAGACTCAAGTGATAATATAATGCAAGAAAAGAGAAGGGAGATGCGAAGTATAGACAAATAGACTTCTACTATATTCTGCTAAGTAGTAAGTAGGTGATAACTAGTAATTGGGAGGTAAAAGTCAGGTAAAGTAATAGTATGTACTGCTGGCGCTTATATAGCGCGCCTAAGCGCAGTCATGCGGAGCCGAAGCGCTACCGAGTAGGTATGTAAAAATATATATATGTGAGAGTCCATGATAAAAATAAAGATGGAATAATATGCAATGAGAGAAATAGAAATATACACTCTAGAGAACATGGTGGACAGTGGATGGATGCATCTGGATGGCTGGCGCTAAAGGGCGCGCAAGCGCGGGAAAGCGCGCGCGCGTATACATCGCGAAGCGCGGGAATGGTGCGCGCATGGCGCGCATTGCGTGGGAAAGCTGCGCATCATATAGGAATCACTGTGGATAGTACACAGAGTGATGCTATGAGTTCGTGCTATGTACTTCTTAGTGAAAACTACCATATCACACCATGAGAGGCATGATTCTCTACACCGAGTAACCATATCAACTCTAATTATAACTAAGTTTAAATAGACTTTCTATATGTAGCGCGGACGTCGGACCGAAGATTTTATTAGTTCAATGGACAAGATAGGAATAACGCACCAGCGAATCAGTAAGGACATGGGACGAATGGACAGACAATAGTGCGAAGACCTAGGAGAAGGTGCGCAAAGTGCGCATAGCACGTGCGCAGGTAAGGCGCGCCTAAGTGCGCGCGAGTACGGATAAGGCGTGCGCGAGACTGGTCCTTAGGATTAGAGCTGTAGCATATAGGAATGTATGGGTAAAGGCCGGATATTCGGCATTGAGACGCGTGAGTCTCTACACCGTCCCCACTAGACACTGGGCCGTCTGGTGTTGGGCCCCAGGATTCAAAGTCGGCCCAAAACAAGACTTCGATATCGGCTGGGCGGAAGCCGCAGCACTCGAACTCGGCCTTCGCATGGCCTTGCATCTAGGTACCGCCTATCTGTTTTGTCTGAACTGCTCCCCATTGATGATATTTAAGGCATTATTCCTGCCGGCACCACAGTAAGCACAGTGTACTTAGTCCATTTGGACAATGCTGGAATAGTGGCTGTGGCCAACAAAGGCCGTTCCTGCAGTGCACAGACAAATGCTATTCTAAAGCATGTGTACCGTTTGCAGGCAGACAACGGCATCCGCCTGCACACAATCTTTGTCCCCACCCGCATGAACATTGCGGACGCCTTGTCTCGTGGCGACATCACTTCATTTCTGACTGGCTTTCCCAATGCAGTGGCATCAATGCCGATTCCCTTGCCTCTGCATTTAGCAGACAAGATTGTTCAATCATTGTAAGATCCTTATACCATGTATCACCAAGCCACAGGCACGAGCCTCCCCCACCCTCAGCACCTTACATCGAGTCTTCTCACCTCTGCCCGCATTGCAAGGCAGCAGAAAGGCTATTCACATGGCGAGGGCCAAACTCACCTCCTCCGGCAACTATAGAGCACCCGGTCATCTGCCATTTGGCCAGTATTGCTACCTGTGCGTCACTCCGAGATGCAGCAAGCTATGGTGCTGGATTGCGCAAGTTCCACAGATTTTGTGACATCTTCTCAGTTCCTGAGTCCAACCGCCTTCCAGCATCTTTTGAGTTACTCCACTCCTTTGCCTTATGGGTGGTTGCTGACCCAAATTCTGGTGACCCACTGTTGTCCACCGAAGGCAGCATCCCTTTCGGACCGGTCTCAGTGGGAGTCGCACGAAAATACTTATCGGCAGTACGCGCATGGCACATCGCACAAGGATGGCCCCCACCACTATCTGATTCCAACCACGACCGAATTAACTGGTCACTTCGAGGCCTTGAAAACCTACATGGTGGTCGCAGAAGGCCTATTCGCCCCCCCATCACACTATCCATGCTTACAGCTCTCAAAGCCACCCTAGTCTTGTCAGATCCCTTTGACACGTGCATTTGGGCCATGGCTGCCTGTGCCTTTTTCAGGATGATGCGCTTCGGCGAAGTTTCAGTCGCATCCCGCGCAGCCTTCTCCCCTTCCAAACACCTCAATCGCGCAGACACATTCTTTGATCGTGACCTGCGATGCAAGCCCTATGCACGTCTAGACCTTCCATCAGCCAAAACCGCACGTCCTGGGGAAAGGCAGTCAGTTTTCCTCAATGAACAGGGTGATTTGTGCCCTCTCACAGCCCTCCATAACCTGGCAAGTGTTGTTCCCGCACTTGCCAGTGACCCATTATTTTCATGGCATGACAGCAAAGGCGATGTCCACCCAATGGCCAAAGTACGGGCAATAGAGCGGATCAACTCAATACTGGTGGCCTGGGGATGGGGCACTACCTTCGGACACTCCTTTCGCATTGGCGGTGCTTCGTTTTACCTTGCAAAAAAGGTTGATCCAGAAATCGTGCGGATCACCGGCCGCTGGAAGTCCTTAGCTTATGAAACATATATCTGGGCGTTTGAACAAATTTCCTCGCAACATTTGGCCAACGCTGCATTGCTCTAGTGGCCGCCTACACTCTCATTGGGCTGAGCAGCTGATTGCCGCAGGTCATTCCGGCATAATGGGTGAGCGGCTCCACCTGCTCGCGTACCACCCCGAGCTAATGCTCGGCCCAGCCCAACCTGTTAGAACATGTCAGTGACCCTAGAGCTAGATGAAGCTGGATCGAAGAGCAAAGAAAATTCTCTATGTTCATTCCTCTGGCAGTCATATGTAGACTCATAGGAGCGGTCTGTCGGAAAAAGTTATTTTTGTTTGGCATGCCTTATGAGGCATTGCAAGCCCTCAATTGACCGAGCTGCCTTGGAAGTGGACCCGAAAATCTTGCAAGCGAGGCTCAATTGATACTTGCAAGTTGCAAGCTGATTTGGAACCTCATTCAGAGACAGATTAGGACAGATTTTCGCAAAAGTTTCACTTACGTCCTTTCCAATTGACTTGGAAACATTTCGGGTGATCTTGCAAAGCCTCAAGCTCAGCGCTCAAGAGGGGTCCCATTTTTGGAAACCTTTCATCAGCAAAACCCTCCTGGGCTAAATATCAGTGATTATCGACAATTATTGACAAATTACTCAAAAAGCGACTGATTTCAAGGATCGCATAGATTATGTTACCCCAAGAAACTTTGACAGAAATGTTTCTAATCATTAGTTATTTGACTAATTTGTCGAGCATTTGAGAGACCATCCATTCAAATTTCGGCAAACAGTGTTCACCAATTTCCCCACCATCAGACAGCATTACACGAACAAATTAGTTTTTGATTAGAAAAGGGTATGTAATAGCTAGTAATATCTGGAATAGAGATATGTATCAATCAACACCATGACTCGGAGTCTCGACAATCTTTGAATCACATAGGTACACCAAAAGAGCAGATTCCCGTCACTAGTCTTCCTCCATACCCTCAAGGTCAAGCAGTTCGAAGGCGTTCAGCTCGATGTGATCCCCAGTAGCACCATTCCGTTTCAACTTACTGCAAGCCAACGGAATTTCGGGACACTTCGACTTGTTCTTGGAGATTTCGACAAAGCGTGACACGAATTTCACACCAATGGCCCTTGAGCTATGAAAGAGCTGGTTAGATATCAACAATATGAGGAGTTCAGCCTGGTTTAAGGTCAATTAGAATATCCTGGGTATCGAACGAGGATCAACAGACTTACATCCTGCGAATGGTGGGAACGACTTGGATCAGTAGCCCTTGCTCGAATGAGGACCAACACACTTACTTCCTGTGAATGGCAGGCAACGATTTGGATCAGCGTGACCCTTGCTCGAATGAGGATCAACAAATCTACATCCTGTGAAGGGGCAACACCTTGGATTAGCGTGGCTGTTGCTCGAATGAGGATCAGCACACTCACTGCCTGCGAACAGCGGGCAACACCTTGGATCAGTGTGGCTGTTGCTCAAATGAGGATAGACAGACTCACGAATTGCAAATGGTGAGCATGAACGACAGGCCCTGACAACTTTGATCAGCATGGCTCGACCTTGAAGCAGAATTGGCACACTCGGTCTGCAAACAGTGGGCAATGACAAGCATGAAAGGACAACTATGAACTGTTAAACAAAACTTTTTTATATATCTAAGACGTACCTATCAGCTTGATGGTTGAGGCTGACAATGTTAAGGAATCATAATGAGGGATCAATGTCGGAAGTTCAAAAGTTCAAAGGTTTTCAAACCAAAGTCATGTGAGTCAAACAAATACATGTAAATGGTTTGATTTCAATATCAACCAAACAATCACGTGAACAAAACAAATATGTGCAAATGATGAACTTCAACGAAATTTCAATGTTTTTTTTTTTTTTTGAAAAGTGAGTTTATTATTCAGCAACTGACACTGTCTAGTCCTAAATAAACACTTATAGCGACGTACTGGCATCGTCCGAGGAAAAATGCTACTTATGCACACTCTGTTACTGGGAGTAGTGTGGGGCTCCATATACTACCTGGACACCTCGGTCTGCGGGGGCCGGGGTAGTTTAATACCCACTAAAACCTCTAGGGCGGTCACCCAGTCTTTTTCTGTTTCGTATTTGTCATTGTTTATTTCGATTACATCAGCCCATGTATGGTAGATTTGTGACGTCGTTTTGGTTGATCGCTTTGTTTTGCACGCTGTCACTCGGTCTAGTTGTAGTCTTTGATTTATGATATTCATCCATCGTTTCGTGACGTGTTCATCGGTATGTGCTTGGTCTCTAATGACACATTCGCACCTTATTACCCATATAAGGTATGCTGATTCTGAAATTAAGATCTTTAGGAGGCGCGATGCCCCTTTTGTTGTTGTGTCGTGTTTCCAGTCGTTTTCGTTGAGGGCTTGTGTATTCCTCGGGAGTGATATGTTGCCGCTTCCTAATGTGAGTCCCAATGAAGGTTTGGGCCATGGGCTATGTTTATTTGGCCAAAGGTTTTTCGCTAGGCTCCATATTTTCTTTCTTATTGGGTTGGTGCATTGGGTCAGTATGTGTTCCATTGATTCTGGTTCTTCTCCACAGGATTGGCATCGCGCTCAGTGCCCGAAATTGGGTATCTGTGTCCAGAAATCTCTGATGTGGTGTAGAGACTCATGCCTCTCATGGTGTGATATGGCGCGTTACACTAGGAGTACATAGCACAAACTTGCAGCATCACTCTGTGTGCTATCCACAGATATTCCACTATGAGGCGCAGCTTTCCCGCGCTTCACAATGTAGGCGCGCGCGCGCGTTCCCGCGCTTGAGCGCCCTATAGCGCCAGCCATCCAGAAGCATCCATCCACTGTCCACAAAGCCCTCTAGTGCGTATATTTCCATTTCTTTTATTAGCATATCATTCCACCTCTATTTTTATAATGGACCCTTACTTATATATATCTTTACATACCTACTCGGTAGTGCTTCAGCTCCGCATGACCGCACTTAGGCGCGCTATATAAGCGCCAGCAGTACATACTACTAGAGACACAAGTTTTCCACTTACTTTTCACTTACTTTCCCTTTAACTTACTAGTTACCACCCACCATTTTACTTAGCAGAACATAGTAGAAGTCCATTTGTCTACACTTCGCATCTCTCTTCTCTTATATTGCATCATATTAGCACTTGAGTCTAACTTCTCTATTATTTCTGCATACGCGCGCACGCTTTCCCGCGCTTCGCGCTAATACGCGCGCGTGTTCCCACGCCTTCGTGCCTTGCACGCACCTGCGCTTTCTCGCACTTTGCTTTGGCGCACACTTCTAGATCCTTGCTGCACTCGCTTCCCCTAGGGTCGAACGCACTTGTCATCTCAAGAATAGCAGACTAGGCAACGTGCGACCTCACAACATTTATAGATACAGCTAGGAGCCTCTTTTGTTCCTCATTGTATTGTTGTTTCTACAGCGGAAGGCATTGTTTAACATTTTGTATATGAAGATTTGGACCTTTTTGGAGAGGTCGTTGTTTCGGCATCCTTGCCATATCGTTCCATCTGTCTCCAGTGTTTTGGTTAGTGCTTCAATGGCGTATCTCGTGATGTCTAGCATGCCTAAGGTCAGTCTTTCATAGTCTATTTGTTTCTTTATCACTAACACTTTATAGGCTGTTTTTTGGTTGATTTTCGACAATTTTGCGCCCTGGAGGTCAAAGTTTCGTGGTACGTATGTATTGATGACGTCGGTGGTCGCTTTCGATGCGCTGTTTTGGGCGAGTAGGTCAGCTTTTTCATTTCCCGTTACTTGACTGTGTCCCTTAACCCATTGGAAGCTTGTTGGTGCCGAGCATCGGCGTAGCTGGTACGCTATTGCTTTGAATATTTGGGTGTTTGCCACATCAATCCACCCGTTATTCTCCCAATCATCGAGGTGGGTGTTTAGGCCGTTTATTACATACTTAGAGTCTGTAACTATTTTAATGGGTGTTAATGGGTTTGCAGTTTGTAATGCTACTAGTACTGCCACAAGCTCTCCTATCTGGTTTGAATGGTGCGTCCCGGGCATGCTAATTTCGCGATTCATTGGGTGATTCTCGTTGATCCAGATCCCTCCTCCGCACTTTGCGTTATATTTGCCGTTGTTGGTACAGGAGCCATCTGTGAAGATGGTGAGTGTGTTGTCGTTCATTTGTCTTCCATTGAGTGGGACACGTAGTCTGTAAGCAGGTATTTCTACCGGTCTCGATGGGTCTACGGAAATGTGAAAGCAGTCTGTCAGGCTGTTCCAGATTGTGATGGAGGGATTGAAGAGGATTTCTCCCTGTGGTTGTGTGCGAGCTTGTGCGTTTTTTTCTAGGCATCTGTGTGTTAATGTTAAGTAGTCTTTTTTGGGAGTCGTATTGGGGTTATATTTCGGTAGGAGGCTATCTAGTATGTGTTGTGCTGTCTGTGCACATTGATGGGGGTTCTTACATCCCGCTAGTCTGTCGTTGATACAGTCGGTGCATGTACATGTGGCTTGCGGTTGGTGGGGAATTTGGTTTGTTATTCGTTCAGCAGTATTTCTTAGGTGTTTTACTGATGTCACTTGGTGTGTTTGTCGTAGGCAGTTGTTTTTTGTTTTATGGTAGGTTCTTGGTGGAGTGCCCATGTGTAACCAGGCCGGGAGTTGGTCTTTGAGATTTTTGGAGATCTTTAGAGGTGCGAAGCTTACGTGGTGTTTTCTAGCGGTTTTTAACATGTTTGTTATCATATACGGCAGTTTATTTGCTCTTTTACCCTTGGCGGGAGGGTTCCAGGATGATAGGAAATTACGTAGGTCAGTGTTGTTGGTGATTCCTTCTGGTTTTAATGTGTTGATTATGGTGTCAGCGACGAAAGCCCATGTTGGTCTATGAGGTGTTGTGTCCATGTAGGCTTGTAGCCATGTTATGTCTATTGCTTCGTTTCTTACTTTGACATTTAGAAGACCAAGGCCTCCTTCAGCGATGGGACATTCTAGTCATCCCGTGCTTATTGGTGGGGTTGTTTTTCCATCCCATATAAAGTTTCTGATTATTTTGGTGATGGTGTTCTCAATACTTTTAGGCA